ATCGTTTCTTTATTTATTTATTCACCTTTGAATTAATTACCTAATGTATTTATTGTCCCTCATAATCTTTTTAAATGTATTTAATTATGAGTGTGTTTTATTCTTCCTTTGCATTTGCATCTTCTTCTCCTCCTCCTATCTAGCCTTGACATTTCTTCCTCATTATGCAAATGAGGGGGTGTGTGTCTCAAGGGGTCAATTACCTATTGGTTGACCAGTCAGATGGTAGTGATCAACAAGCTTTGCTCCTTAAGCCTACAGATATCTTCCTTCAGTGAGGTGATAAGTAAAATGAGGTGTTTAGCAACTCTGTTTGAGGACGTTACTACCAGCCATGTCTTCCTTCTTCTTCGCATAGACCCTTCTAACCTACAGTCTTTTCAGCAACATACATGGACTCAGAACTGCCGAAAAGTCAGCTGTTGTTTGTGATAACCACATGGTCAGCAAGCCGCAGCTATATCTGGAGTGCACACATGTATTCAAGCCTTTAGGGTAATACTTACACAAATTGTGCTGATGTTCCCTGCTTCACTGAAACAAACTACATGCATCAGTGTGACTTTAAACTCATTTCAGTTGCTTCAGGTTAAGCTAATATAAAAATAAATGTTGGTTGACCACAGTGAGTGTTTTTCAACACTTCTTAGAAACAGCATCTTCAGATGTGGGAACTGACAGAGCAGATACAACAATGTGGTTTAACTGATAAAATAGACACTGATACTGTGAGTTAAAACTGTGCTGTCTGACCAGATCATCTGACTAAACATCGCCTGTGTGTGAATAGTATTCTTTTGTATTGTTTTTCAGTTCAGTTTAAAGCTGTACAAAGTGCAATTGAATGACGGCTTTTCATTTATTTAAGTGTGTTTTAAGTTTCTTACATTATTTTTTGTTACAGAGTGAACAGAAATAATAGAGGCAACATTTTGAAATATGATAGGTTTGATGTAGATGCAGGAAAATATCGGAGAACACATTTTTGTTGCTTCCCATTTCCAATGACAGTGAAATATTCTAATTATACGTAATGTAGTCAAATGAAATGACTGACTTCAAAAATACACAAATAGGTTCAACACATAGCAACATAATGACACCAACAGAGTCTCTCCTCCCTTCCTCAGTCAGGTGTTGCTGCTCTCTGTGGCCTGTAAAACACAAAGATTGAATCTGTGGTAAAATATTCTTGACTCAAGAGTCACTTACTTTCTGCTGTTCATGCTGATTAGAAATCCTATTATAATAAAATTAATCAAAATTTTTGTTTCAATTTTCAAATATAACAGTCAAGAACTGACATGATCTTGGTACATGTGGTAGATGGATGACTAAATACAAGTCAGGCCTGATTACCTGAAGGATCGGGACGGGGCTAAGCTACAGTTTCATCAGTATCACTGAAGATTAATTGATTAGTATCAGATCACCAGAAAATTGTTAACTGTTTAAAAATGTATTGGTGAAGCTGAAACACAACAGCTGTTTTAACAGACAGTAACAACATACAGGACATAAAAACATTTAAAAAGGGCAAAAACAAGCAAATTGATGACAATAATTTAGAAAGTGTGATGTGCATTTTTCAAAATATTCTGACATTTTGTTAACAAACTGATTATTAATTAATATTTTTAAATAAAATTATTAATTGATTAATCAGAAGATTAAGTGACAATGAAACTAATTGTTTTGTTGAGCCCTGAACATTTCCCTATAGAGAGACAAAGAGCTCAGTTTTTAGTCATTCAGAAACAAACTGAAGGGGTTTCCTTCTCAGCCACTCTGAAGACGTCCCAACAGAAAGGGCATCTTGGTAATGTTTAAGACATGAATCTGCATGACAGGAGGGATATTCAATGCATTTGTGTCCCTCAAACCAGTATCTCATCATCCATCCATCAGACTATGTTAAAGAAAAAAAGGTTTGTAAAACGAAAACGATCTCTTGGTCCGGATCTTGGTGCGGACTTCAGGTGTGAAAGCCCCCTTACCTTTTTGATAGGAGAATAGATAACTTCCTGCTCTTTTAAGCTTGAGTCTGTGGCTGCTGTGCGATTCATGGCTTCAGATTCTGCAATACAGACAAGTAGAATTCATATTTCATGTTAAAGAGGCAGTATGTAGTTTTGTAATGAAATTAATCACTTTTAATTGCCTTTTTGTGAACTGGTTGTAACCTCAAGTCAGACTTTCCACGAAATATATGCATGTGATGTTCATGCGTGAAGAGTTTTTGCTCACTGATTCTGAACTCTATACACAGCAACATTACCACAACTAACAAATTTGAGTCTGCTAAAACCAAAAAAGTATCCGCTCCTGCAGAAAAACTTCTGTATGGATAAAAACCAACAACTAAATTTTATGTGTTGGACAGGTAAACTAACATTACTGCATAGCAAGAGAAAGATGTTAGATGGATCAAGTTAGTTAGCTTACCAGCTAAAACGCTATCTAGCATTATCCATTGATTAGTTGTCCTGTTTTGACTTGCCACATTACTTCCTATGAACAATGGTAAACTAACGTGATACATTGAGTGATGAATACAAAATACTATCATCCAGGATCATTTTAAAAAGTAGTTTCTTTAGAACGTTATTTTATTTATTTTATTTAGTTCAACATCACATTTGTGTGATGCGGTCTCCTTGTATCGGACTCTGTTTTGGTTCCCTTATTAGTTTGAGCATGCGCACAAGCACACACTTGGGAAGGTAGTGGTGGGGCTGAAAATGTAAAGTTTGACTTGAAGATATTCATCCAGATAAAATATCTATATGGTCTATTCATTATAACATGAGATTACCCTGACAAGTATTTCTTTAGATCATGTTGTGAAAAATGCTATTCAGCTTATGAGATTTGTTGTGTCTTAAAGGGACCATGTGTAGTTTACAGGGGCTATTAGCAGTGAGATTTCAGATCTACAGCTTTCACGTAGATATTGCTATTTTTCTGTCCGGGACTTTTGTCTTGTGAGTGTACTAAATTTAAAAGTTTGTGTTATTGATTTTTCCACTTTTTGAACCAAACTGCTAAATATTATGTCAGCATCTGTTTCTTTTTACCAATAAAAGCTCTTTTGAGGTCTTTTGAGCACATAGTTTCTACCAACAATCTGAACAGCATCAGCTCACTTGCCCAAAGAAAATATTTAAATTTAAATAAAATGTAACAGTGTGACAGATCATTTATTACAGTGTGAGCTACAGTCCCCTTGAAGTAAGTTTAATGGAGTCAAAATAACCATAACTTCTTAGTTACATACGGATTTAAACAGATAACAATTTGGGAGCATCGCAATTGTGTTTTCGTAAATATCTGAAATATTAACAAAAAAACAATTTAATAATATACAAACCAGGTCGGTGAGTTCGTGGATTCGCACTTATTGTCAAAGAAGAGTAAACAGGTTGATGTGAGGACTCATCTTCATCTGAAGTAGAGAAACCAACAGTAAGCAAGAGGTTGACAGACAGACAGATAAGAGAGCTTAAAATACTCATACTGACAGACCTTTTTGTCTTTGTGGTTTTCTGCTGCGGTTTGTCTTGAGGCAAAGACTCAAATTATCAGCAGCGTCTTCTGTGTCTAAAAACAAAACACCATCTATGACACACAGAGAGGATTCAAAAATAATTCAGACATCAGTCCTGTTGGGCAGCACGTCTCAACTGTCACTTTCAAGATGAGGAGCAGTGATGCACACAAGTGCTTATAAAATGTGTCAGTGCTTTAGACGTAAAGTCTTGTTGTGTTCCTCACACATGTTATAGAAAAGAAAGATCTAAACATAAAGTCATGTAAACCTTTGTCCCTTCTCTGTTTTGTGACGACAACTGCATATGTCACACTGTTTGGGTCATCTGCAGCATCGTCTTCAGAGACTGAAACACAAAAGAAAACATTTGTGTAAAAATTCTAAAGTACATGTAGATTATTAAATGCAGAAACAGAAGGTTGGCAGGTAGACATAAGTACACATGTGCATAAATATAGACCATAAATGTTCTTTTAGGTTTAAAAATAACATTTTGTCTCATTTTAAGTCTTAACTCTTTGGTCTAGATAGAACTAGCTAATTTGTAGCAGTTTACTTTAAAATGCTTTATCTCTAAGGATTCTCAGTCATCCAGGTCATAGTTATCCAAGTAGTTAAAATCAAGGGAACATTTTCCAACAGTGTACATATTTTGGATAGGGGGAAAAAATGTTTTGAAAAGTGAGTCAAAGTAACCATCTACAACCAAGTGGAGAAACCATCTCTAAACATGGGAGGACGTCTGCAACACCACTTTTCTCCTACTTAAATCCAGTCCTTTCATCGCTTCCCAAGTGACTGAACAGACGCTCACATTTGGCCTCATGTCACAAAGCCAACCACGGTCGTTATTTGAGTCATCTGAGGCCAAGTCTTAGCGACTGATGTTACAACAACCAGGAGTTAAATAGTAAGTCAGAACTGAAAAAGCCTTTGATTGGTTAAAAGTTTCTATATATCAAAATGACTTGAATCACAGCACACACAGCCTCACCTATTTTATCGTCCTTGCCGGAGTTTGATGCTGCTTTTGCCATCTTTGAGGAAAAGCAGAGCACCACTGATGGATAGAGAAGCAAGAACACTGACATCAGAGACACAAAAACCAAAATGATTAATTACCTGCTCTCTTTGGACACAGCGGACATGATTCACACAAATGTGACTTTGCTGTTCTTTGTCATTCAATTTCTAACTATGTAAACTGTTACATGAATATCAAACCCAATGTGTGATATGATGCACTCCTTCCTAAACTTGACGGCTATAGTTGCCTTCTTTCTAAGTGTTTTTAAGGAAGTTATTAACACGCAGCAGATTAGATGACGTTGCTTTTCTTTACCTCTGTGTTTCCTAATATGATGGAATCCCACCACCAGCAGCCCCAGAGTTAAAATGGTGACAACTACCCACAGCAGGACGAGGACTTTAGGGGCAGCAGTGGCTTTGGGGAGGGTCTTTTCAGGAGGGGATGGAGAGATGATAGAAATTGTATTTGCTGTAAGATTACAAATTCCACCCATGAACTTTTTAGATTTTAGATTTTAAATAGAATTTGAAACCTGCAAAACAAACAGCCATAAATAAATAAAAAAATGCAACAGGAAACTGTCACTGAACTTTCACCTTTCAACTCTGTGAAGTCATGTTAGTCCAGATGGCTGTAAAGCATTTGGTAAATATTTAACTCGCTAACGGTCACAATGTTTTCAACACTGGTCAAGTGTCTGACAAAATGTCTATCAAACTCCAGACAACTGAACCTTTCATAGGAAAGGTGCCATCATCATGACTAGTCTGCTCCCATCCTGGCCATTCAACTAGCACAATATCATCTTTAGCTTTGTAACACTATCATGTCTCACCTCTCACAGCCAGCCAGCTTCCTGGTGACGCTCCAACACCAGGGATGCTGCACTTGTAGACGCCTTCATCAGACTTGGAAACATTGTTAATTGGCATCTCATCAGCAGGACTGCTCTCAATGAGGACGTCATCTTTGTAGAAAACAGCTTTGGTGTTGGTGGAAGTTGTCTTGTGTCTGCAGCGCAGAACCACATTTTGTCCCACCAAAACAGGAAGAGCAGGACTCTCCAGGATCACAGGACCAGCTGAACAATGTGAAAAATAAAATAAAATGTCAGACACTTATGCTTGGTAAATTTATTTTTTAGAAAAGCTAAAAGACCAACAAATCTTAATGAGTAACTTGCCATCTGAGTGGGGCCCTTCGTGAGGGTGGTAAACCTCAACAAGTTCACAGGACAGTAAAGTAAAAACACACAGTCCTGTCAACTAGAAATTAATTTTATTTATGACAAATTTGTTTTGTGTTTTGAAAGAAGCATAATGACACCCAGATTAAGTTTTCAGTCAACATAATGATGAAATGTTGTCAGTTAACATTGAAACATCATGGTCTTGGTTTAATAGAGAAAAAGTTCTCAGTGACTTTACGGTGCTTTTGTTTCCTAAACGTAAACACAGACTGGACTTAGGATGCAAACCCGGGTCCTTTGCTTTGCAGGTTCATCATACACCCTGACCACCCCTTTTGACTCTCATGAGCTATATATAGTAAATCTAGCGTTTCATTCACTCAAACAAATGTTGCTTCGAAACTTAGACCAGGCAGCGACTGTCAGCATAATATAATTATGAAAATATTTTTTTAGAAGACCACACAAATCTTAAAAACTGCCTAAGCAGCAACCCCAAATATCACTACACATGGGAAGCAAGCATTCTCAAATGTTTTGATATTTCCGTCAACATTTTAAATGCAAAATGTACGTTGAATACTAATTATACATTTAAAGTCTAATCTGGATTATTGAGTTTTATCAGTTGAGTTTCATACTGAATGTTCTACATGTGAAACATCAGGTTGAAAATGTGCATGAAGTGACTTTAGAAATACAATAAACGGACCAGTGACAGTGATGTTGGCACTGTTGCTTCTCTCTCCTCCATCAGTCTCACACCAGTATTCTCCACTGTCTCCTGGATAGGCTCGTTTAATGGTGCAAGATCCTGTTGGCGTCCTCGTAATGTCACATACCGGCTGAAATTCCTCTCTGTTCCTGATCCCTCTCAATCGAGTGGAACCATCAGTCCCCTCACAATGAAAAGAGACAGACTCATATCCAAAGTGCTGCAGTCTGTCTGGAGTGATACGAAGAAAAACTGCATCTGAAAATGAGAAAAAAGTGTCTCAGATTAAACATCCAAAAGTGGGAAATTATGATGTCTGTGACAAATAATAAATAAATAATAAATCGAAGTACCTCCACCTTGTGACAGATACAGCTAGTCTTTTTTAAAGACACATTTTGGTATTCACATGCAGTATTAACCTATCAAATTTAACTTCAAATTTGAGATGAGGTTCATTTATGAAAACTGTAGGCATAGACATATTTAACGGGTTAAACTCAACCTCATGTTGAGTCTGTAGATGGAGAAAATGATTTTTTTTTAAAAGAACATAATTTGTAGGATTTTCTCTTTGTTGCTCACCACTTTGAGTATGATTCTGAGCTTTTGTCTCCACCAGAAAGAATTCAAGCATCACTGGATAAACAGAGGAGCAAAGCTGTACATCAGTTAAGTGCTTTCGATGTTCAGGCATGTAAAAAAAAGAAACCTGAGACTGACACTGAGTACTCACACAGTCTGAAGCAGAGAGATGTAGCCTCCATGGTGTCTTGCTGCTAACTGAGCATAAGACTGAACTACAGCAGGTGAAAACTTCCTCTTCCTGTTCAGTTTATTTCTGATCTTGACGCAAAAGCCGGGGCCACGTGGCTTCAACATACAGCAGTGGTTTCTCATCTTCAATTATCAACACCCACTTAGGGGGTGGAGGGTAAGCATCACTGATAGCCTTTTTTAACTTTAACCTTTAACCTTTACCCAGCAGTAATGGTGTCCTTTTTTCTTCTTCATCACTGCCTGTAGACTTGACAGACTGACAATGGGGAGCAGGAGACAAAAGGGTGAGCAAAGTCAATTCTCTCCAACAGACCTCTACCCAAGCTCCCAAAATGTATCTTTGTTTGAAGAGCGAGGTGTATGGGACTGGCAGATTATGATGTGTGGCCTGGCGTGGCAGCCCAGTACTCGGGAAATTACATCTGTCTTGGATGGTACCTACGTTCAATGCTAGCATTCTGTTTTATTGCAGGAAGTAAGAGTGTGGTGGTTGGGGTAGCAATTTATAAACACCTTTTCATTAACTGTAATCATCATTGTTAATCACATATCAAACAGAAAGCTAGATTTTTAAAATATTATTGTAGTGATAGACTAGAAAAGAATATTCATCTCCCTTATTATCATAAAATCTTGGAGAATATTCCATAAAATGCAGAGGACCGTCACTTTGGAATATTATTCCAGTCTTTATCCAAACGTTTTCATCATTGTCAGTATTTAAATCATGAAAACATGAAAAAATACTTATGTCATGGTTAAAATTTAAATGTGTGTTTTATTTAACCATTTATCATTGTTGTCATTATATTTTCCATAATAATTTAATATAATATAAACTGAAAATCCAGAGGGGAGGTTTTACTATAAGCCCTTGGTGATTTCTTAACTCTCCTGCACTGTGGCGGTTTTGGTGGGGGGCCCCTGTAACACAGCCCTTGTACCTCCCTATGGCCCCCCCTCTGAATGAAAAGTCTCTGGCAGTCCTAATGAATTAGCGGCCGTGGGCCGCCTCAAAGCCCGAAGCAACCTCCATGTGGCCCAACACATGATCTAATATAGCCTATATGACAACAAAAGTAGGGGAGACTGGGGGCAATTGTAACATCTCAAATTGCACCAATCAGAAACAAGTCAGAGCCATGACACTTATCATGCACGCTCTCTGTGACCATCCCTCTTTGACTGCCGAAGGACAAGCCCATGAGACATTCTTGTCAATGTTTTTCAGCCAAGAGTCATTTTTGAGCTATGAAAGTAATATTTTTCATCTACAGTATTTTTCTCATACTGTCATAACCATTAATGTCTATGAATTTAATCTGTCTTTTTTGATCATCATTCTGTTGTCTAACATTTGATATCTTTGTCAAATATAAACTTCATTGTTTCTAGCCAGCAGGGTAGCTTGTCATGGAGGAGTTACAGTTGGGGGCAATTGTAAAACTGTGTTACAATCGCCCCTGCATGTGGGGGCAGATGTAACATTTTACATCTAGTGTTTGAATCGATATAGTGACTTTAACATTGCTTGTAAAAACATTTGATGACTGTTTACAAGTAAAACACAGGTACAAGTTAACTCAATAAAAATTGTATCCAATTAGTTCAAGAAGTTTTTGAGTTATAACCAAGAAAGCAAAAATTGTTACAATTGCCCCTGGTCTCCCCTACACTAGTGTATGAAAGTATCTAAAGAGTGAGCTACTGTAGGCTACATCATTAGTTCTCATTTCTGTTGAGTTTCACATGCACTGTACCGATCACTTCTGTCTTTATTAACTGTTCAGCTTAGTTTGCCTGTACATTAAAAAATGGCACATTATAAACTCAGCTGGTGGCTGAGACAAACCAGCCCTCCCCTCTACCAGCAGCAGCAGAGGGAGGAGGACTGGAGTTGTTCATAATTTCTAAACTTCACACAGTATGTTGATGTCAGGAATATGTACTATTTATTTTACTGACATGTTAAATTTGTTTCCAGTGAGATATTAGTGACTTTGTTGCTGTAAATCCTGTTGCTGCTCTAGAAACAAAAAATTTAAACAATATATTTAATTATTTAGTAATAAATAGGACTGATAAGAGCATCAATAAAGAACTGAACCAATAAGGATTACCAATACAAGTGTGTCAATAACATCTTAATGATCCCAACTCCTGAGAAAATGTCAGGTCCATCTCTGTATCCTGGTTTTTAAAATCCGAAATTTTTAATGTAATAGCCCTGGTCTACAGTAATCATAGTAATGTATCTTCTTGCGACAAAATTAAACTGAATGCAGCTTGTAGACAATATTTTGTCCTTGTACTCCATGTTTCCATTGCATGTCCCTCTCCTTAAACGGTAAATTATTATCATAACAATTTAATAATGAATTGCATTTAAACAGAACTTTTCATACACAAAAAGTGATAACAGGAATGTTACTACTACTGGTCTAACAGGAATGTTTTTTTTTGTGTAATGTAACTTAATAAAAAAGTTACTGAAAAGATCCTGTTACTGAAACAAATAACTGTAAGTTACTGAAACATACTAAAACATTACATTATATACTAAACGGGACATTTTGATAGCTTGAACATTGCCTTTGTCTCATTTGTCTCCAATTGAATGTGCCCCTCTGACAAAACAACTGGCCCCAGTCTGGCCACCTCAATAAAATTGGTCTAGAACCGCCACTGCTCCTGCATAATCCTTACATCATATTTTTATTTATCTTTAATCTGTATAAATATATATAAATAAATAAATAAAAATCTGGTTGTGTCTGTTTAATTTCAAAGACTCGCCAAATATTCATCCCTGTCAATGATAATAATGTTCAATCATCTGACTGTCTGCAACGCAGTGGTTATAAAAGTATTGCAAACTTTACTTAGGTATAAGTATAAGTACTCCGATGTAAGTATACTCCATGAGGAAATCTTACATCTGTGCAAGCTTTATCAATTATGTTCATGTTACAGCCACAGCAAAACTCAACCAGCAATATGTAAAAGGACACCGTACCTGAGGACTGGTTATAAGCAAATTAATTCATTTACAAATTATCACAGGTAAAAGCCCTTGTTTTACACAGGCAGAATGTCAGAATATTATTTCTTTATTATATTACTACAATGTTAAACTATCCTAAAGCATTGATGTGCAAGCACCATCTAATGTTGTAGTTGTAGGTGGAGCTAAATTTAACAGTCTTACATACTGATGGGGTATTTATTCTTTAATATAACATGTTTCAAGCTAAACATGTTATGTTAGGAAAAATCTTATAACACAAAGTAACTTGCACCTCCAAATAAACGCAGAGTATACTTGTTGCTGGCGTTAAGTATGAAGTAGTAAGTAGTAGTTTCTTCACTCAAAGGGGCATTCAAGAGGCAATTTTGCAGCGTTTTTTTCTTGCATGGGGGAACCCCCTGTGTCCACCACTGACATGAAACTTAGTTTGGAAACCAAATGGGATCACAATGCTTGGTTTAGATTCTACTTATTAATGTACATATTAATGGTATTGCTACATGTCATAGAAGTCTAGTTGGTAAAACTATAAATTTATTTCCCTTGCATATTAAGCCTACGTTTTATCTCAGGCTAAACCTGACAGCTTTATTAATGTGGGTTTAATGATGACTTTATTGTAATTACATTGTTGTTCTATACTTAAAATAAATAAATAGGCTAAATAAAAAAAGATGGGTTAACACTGAAGGGGAAAACATGGAACTTGGAATGGCATTTGCAATTTTAAACTAAATCTACTGAATGAACAAATTGCAGTTGGTAAACCAGAGTGAAACATTAATTATATTAACAGGGCGGTGTTTATACAGGCATAGCTGCTGATTGGCTAACACCTGTGACACGCGCCCTCCAAACAGGAGAACACATACCTTGAAGCCCATGAAGCCCGATGTGCAGCGTTGCATATGTCCCAGAAAACAAGTCGTCCCACATGGAAACCGTAGCAAAGTGGTCCAAAACGTTTTGAGTCTTTGACTTTCTCTCAGGCTGCCCGGCCAGAACAGGTTCACACCAACTTTACCTGGATTAATAATTAACAGCAGTCCCTTGAACAGACAGCAGGTACGTCGAATTTTCCTTGTTCAACGCACTTTGTCTAACATCTACTTAAATGCACATAATAACAGACCGTTAGCTTTTGTGTTTTTTTGTTTTTACTGAAGCCTATTTCTTATCTTACCGTTTTAAAATTAATCAGCTTTAGATTTTTTAGTCATTTGAACAGGACGCCTGCTAGTTTGAGAGCAACCTGTCGAGTATTGAGCGTCTTTATCATCTTACATGAAATATTACTGGCATGGACTTTGTGCAATGGAGAGGGTTTTATGAAACGATTCTGTCAGCATCAAAAAACTTTAATTTACTAAGAAAGAGTTTTGTGAAAAGGCGCAGTGTTCTAATGTTCTGTCTGTGTTTGTGAAACAAAAGTGAAAGTAAAAGTCACGTCATGTTATGTATGTAACGTCTCAGTGAAGGTCAGTGAAGTCTGTAGGGCTTTGTTTAAATTCAAACCCAGAAAAGAATATGATTAAATATGTAGCCTTTAACCTTTTATAAATATGTAACTATGTAACGGTACGTTTTACTCATCTAAGTTTTTAATTTTAACTAGTGTTTCTGCAGAATAAGCAGTGTGGTGAAATATAAACTCAATCCTGAGCAGACTTCAAATTAAAAGAAAACAGTTTTTTGTTAAATGTAATAATTTGAATTGGGGATTGAGTGATAAAATTAGTCAACAGACAAGATCAGGATTTTAAATCATATTTTATCTCAACACAACTTCAGTCTTTTCCACACAATAATGTTTCCATGGTTTCTGTCCATTTTCCAAACTGCAGGATGTTTTACCAGATGGCTGGACTGTCTCTTCAATGTTCGCTCAGAACCATACTTTTTTTCATCGTCCATCTTCTATCACACTTTTGTACAGGTAAACTCACACACAATATTATTGTATAAGAGTATTTCTGTTTTGGGTTTTGGTTCACAGCTCACAACAAAACAAAACAACATCAGTATTTGCATGGACTGTTGACTGTTTTGAGGAATTGATATTCTTAGTTCTTCTCTGGAAAAAACACAAATAATAAGACCAGAAAAACATATTTCAGCTGTGTGTGAGCATCACCCACATATAAAACATTTAAACGAGTTGCATGCAGATGTTTAAGTGACAGAAAACTTTCCATGTCTGTAACACCAGGGCCCTGTTTCAGCAAGCAGACTTAACAAACTCTGCTTATCCCTGAGCTCTGAGTTGATTGAGTCTGAGATGTGAAACTATGAGTTTTCTGAAGATAATCTCCTCCCAAGGCTCAACATGATTGGCAAAGCATGTGCAAATATATCTGTTGCAGGGCTTGACATGAACTTTATTGCTCACTAGCCAATGTGGCTAGTGGTTTTTCAAAGTTACTAGCCACGCAGCATCTTCACTAGCCTAGGGAAATTACATTTTATACGAATTACGTTGACAATAGCATGCTTAAATTGGTGTGCTAAAATGTACTAATATTATCATCAGCTCTGATAAGGTTGTGAAAAAATGGTCTATTAAGGTCTATTAAGATAAACACATTAAAATAGCAGCTTCTTATTGTATATAGTAAAAGTGCTGCATGTGTGTAAAAGATTAACTGAAAAGATAAAAACTAAACTAAAAACAAAAATCATTGTTTATATCCTCTGCATTTATAAAAGTAGCTGGCTAAATACTGTAATACAGAGTAGAAAAGTTATCTGCATTAGAAACAAAAAATGAAAAAATAACACAGTTAAGGCAATATGTATAGGCCTATATCATTTTTGTGCACTTTTGGAGTGTTTGTTTTTCCTCATTTATGTTCATCATCATGAAGCTCTGCTGTAGCTCTGAGTCACTGAACATATGAATTGAGTATACAGGTATTTATTTTCCAGATTATTCCCCTACAAATGCATCTTCTGCTTTCATACATGGTATAAAAACTTTTTATTAAAAAAATAGAATCAACTCTGGAAAGGTAGTTGTGATATGACAATATGAAGGGCAGCCCTGCTAGTCTGTTGTATTCTTTTATAAACACCAGCATGTTCCTTAATCATGAAGATATCAATATTTTACAGCATTTAATGGCACTTTCCTCCTGCTTTTCCCCGCCTGTGGTCTGCCTTTTCTCTTTCCTTCGTTCTCCTGTGCATTTTCTCTCCACGCTGCTCGGCCACGCACTGACTGAACGCTGTGTTGATGCGTGTGTGCATGCGACCAGTCGCGTGTGATGACAGAGATCATACCATCAAGTTAAAAGTGATCAGGAGGCTGACGGTCTACAGGTCTGAGGGACTTTGGCTGATCTGTGGCAGATTCAGAGAAGTGAGAGACTGAGACGCGCATGTTGTGTGGATTTGTGGATTTCATGTCTTTATCTTAAAGCTATTAAAAAAGCTTGCTTTGTCATGGCTGCCGCTGGTTAAGTGGATAATTAACGGCAGGCCAGACTGGTCCGACGGCCAATCCGTGAGTTTAAACCCCACAACGTCTTCTTGTTTACGGTGTCGTTCGTCAGTAGCGTGCAAGACAATAGGCTTCACTAATGGACCAATGAGCAAACACTGTGTGCAGGTAGTACTCACGGGAGTTGTAGTGTCATACTGTCACATTGCAATTCGTTTGTTATTATGACTTTTGACAAGACTAAAATTTTTCAATAAGACCTGATCGTTAGGCTGTATGCTTATCCGTGCTGCACATCAATGTGAGCCCAGCAACAGTGTAAATACACTATTTACTTTAAAAATATAAAAATTGTAATATCTGTCAAAATACACCTATGATTTTTTTGTATATGGTTCAGCCCTACTTTATAGAGCTGAACTAATTTAACTAGTTCTTACTAAAAGAACTTATAACAATATTTTGTTTCCTTCCAGGTCACTCTCAGTTAATTGGTTCTCCTCGGCCAATAGTGGCAAAAGTTGGCGATGACGTCATCTTGCCATGTCATCTGCAGCCTGCAGTGGATGTTGCTGCCAAGACTTTTGACTGGACAAGACCAGACCTGGACCCCAGATTTGTTTATGTGTGGCGTGCTGGTCAGGAACTTGTAAATGAAAAAAATCCTTTCTACAAAGAAAGAACAACTCTGTTCACTGAAGAACTGAAGCACGGAAACATTTCACTGAAACTCTCCAAAGTGAAACCTTCTGATGAGGGGAGATACAAATGTTACATTCCAGATATGAACACAGACGCCTCCGTTGAGCTTGTTGTTGGTGAGTAGATACATGATGTATGTGTAGTGCAGTTCGGTGTGTAGTCTGTGCAGTGTATCCAGTGAATAACTGTGGTAGGATCAAAACAGCTTTCAGCCATTCATGTTGGGACATGGACAGTTCACAGCCATCAAACTCCAGTGTAACGGTTACATGTTCTTGAGAACAGCTGAATTAAATGTAATACATACAATCATAAATATTAAACAGAATGTGATGTGACTTACTTTATGACAGACTTTCAAATAGATGTTAGCTGACCCTGCATGAAGCCTTGCAGCCCGATGTTACTGTTGCTTCTTTAGATCACACCATATATACGATTTCCAAGACAGGCAGCAGATTGACTTTCCAAAATTAATGTGTGAAACAACTGGTCCTTAATTTTTTTTCTTTAATGTAAATAAAAGCTGAAAAAACTTTTTGGCCGCTTACATTAAAGCAAAAATTACACTTTGTAAACGATGTATTCATTAATGTATTGGTTAATTTAACAGAGATTTTTTCAACCTGTAGTTTCTGGCCAGATCCCAGTTATTTTCTTGTGTTTTTAGACAGATAAAAAAGACATGAGCCTCCAAAATCTTGACACCATTCACAGCGGTGCATTAAGTTAAATGCATCTTCATAATGTCAATACTAACATGCTGAAGTTTAGCAGGTTTATATTTGACCTTGTTGTAGTTTAATGTGTTAACATGTTAACATTTGATCATTTGGACCAAACACAAAGTGCAGCTGAGGCTGGAATCTCATTAGTTTGTAAATATTTACCAAAGAATTGGACAAAATAAAATGTTTCAGATTTACATTTATACATCTCTTTTAATTATTAATGCAGTCTTTGTAAAACTGACCTGTATTTTAAATGTTCCTCTTGCTCAACATCAGGGGCCGTCTCCTCACCTGTCATCAGTTTAGCAGGGATTGACAGACACAAAGGGGGAGTGGTGTTACAGTGTGAGTCTGCAGGCTGGTATCCAGAGCCTGAGGTGTTTTGGCTGGACGGTGAGGGAAACCTCCTCTCTGCTGGACCTACAGAGACAGTCAGAGGTCCTGATGACCTCTATACTGTCAGCAGCAGAGTGACTGTGGAGAAGAGACACAGCAACAGCTTCACCTGTAGAGTCCAACAGAAGGACATCAACCAGACCAGAGAGACACACATCCAGGTTCCAGGTAGAAATGATTGATGATGTGATCAATGTTTTAGTTTCAAATAGCTGAGGTCTAGTGTTCTATAAACAACATGTTATTTTGTGTTTTATCATTTCAGATGATTTCTTTGAGGTCCAGTCCAGTTTGTCCTCCATCACAGTTGGATTGGCTGTTTGTTTGGCTGCTTGCATCGTGATCATTTTGTTACTTATCTTTTCTGTGTGGAAATGGAGACAGAACAGAATCAGTGAGTTGTAAATTAATTACAGATTAATGGGACATAGTGATGTGATTAATTGTGTAAATTTAATATGATAAATATTGTCAGTATTTTTTTTAAATATGTGGTGTTTTTTCTACTTTTATTAGCAATAAGTGAAATTGTCAGGTGTCTTATTTTTGTAGCCCATTAACACCTGATTTTAGACTCAAATGTCTCATATGCTGTGATGCAAGGACATGACTTTAATTATACTGCCTGTATTTTCACACAGAGAGCAAGAGAAGCCACAGGAATGAAATGGATAAAGGAGAACAGAAGGAGCGCTTTAAAAGTATCAAACCTGAAGATCAGCTTCACATTGAAGCAGAAAGAGAGCAGCTCATGAAAAATGAAACAGTGACAATGAAGAGTTTGACGAACAAAAAAGGGGAAAGGGACACCAAACTTGTAAGTACATAAACAGGACATAACATTCAAAGCAAATGTCAATGGAGATTAAACAAGGATGTGACCTGTAAATCTGACCCATGTGAATCATGCAGATCTTTAATAAAAAAAGAAGAGGGGGGTTCAGGAGCTGGCGGAGTGAAATGGAAAGGATTTGAGGTCATTTATATAGGCTGACGTGTAAACTTTTCTCCCTTTCCAAGTATCAACAAGGATGTTTCCCCACCTGCGCAGTGTGTACCACAGTCGCTCTCGCGTATGTTTTGATTATCGCTTGTTATAGGCTATATGTCTAAAGTTTACTTTGACTTTGTTGTCGATTGATCACTCCTGTAGTCTACACACTTTGCACTTTCCTTATGTTAAAGGTTTTGGCACGTTATAAAAAAGATTCTTGTGAATGGTTGTGACAGGATTTATATAAGGCCTTTTCATACGGCTTTGAGCCGCGGGGTCGCTCTGCGCTCCCCATCAACAGACAGGCAAACAAGTGCTCTGCGAGGTAACCATGGCAACGGTTTCTGTGTAACTGGTGCAATCCCGTGAAACTGCCGCGGTCGTTCTCGTCTCACGCACACGCCTGCCCGCTGCAAGAGTTGAAATGTCAAACTTTTTTCTACATTTTATCAATACACAAAACAACCTTTGTGTTGTGGAGTGTGGGGACAGGGTGGACCCAAACGCAACTCTGGGGATTAACAGGTTTTATTTGGGGAAAGATGGGGTTGAGGGAGAGGTGGATCCCGGGTGTGGGGGGGGTCTCAGTATATTTTCCTGCTTTTTTGCCCTTTGCCAATCACATACCTGATTAAAACAACGCAACAGTTAACGAGGTAGAGAGGTAAGAAACAAATGCAATACTGTTCAAATTTATATATATATATATAAAATAAATATGGCTAAAATCATGTCTGGATTCTTGTCCCTGTTTCTGTCTCTCCTCTCTCTCAGTTTAAGGAGCAGCAGCTGCAGGAGGAGCAGCAGAGGAGGGATGAAGCTGAGAAAAGAGTTCAGACACTGAAAGATGAGCTGGAGACCAAGAGGAATGAGGTTCATCTTTAGTTTAATAATATAATACATTGATTATAGTATGAAGTCACATTTTTATGTCACAGTAGTTTATGTAGGTCAAGTACAAAATAAAGTCTTATTTGGGTTTTTTTTGTCACAGATGTTAATTTATAGTGTAAAGTTTTAAATGTTTGTAAAAAGAACATTTGTCTCATTTCCTCTCTTTAAAACTTCTCGCTGTCCTTCCAGGTTGAAACCAAACAAGCTGAGCTGCAGCAGCTCCAAGAAGAGAAGCAGAGGAAGGAGAACGACCTGCAGACTGTGAAGGAAGAGCTGGAGAACAATGAGGTTCATGTCTTTATCTTAATCTTTCTGTATTTACTGTGTCACAGCCCAGACTCAGTGAGCCACACAAAGAGGGAGAATACACACCATCAGAAACTTAAGTTCTTTGTAAGTTAGTGGTGGTTGTTGTGTTGAGTGGATGTTCGGTGTTGTGAAGGCAACAAAGAGAGAATGAGGAGTCAGCCTAACTACTAAATGGCCCCTTTCATCAGTGAGCAGGAGGAGCAGTGACAGCCAGCCAGAGGCTCAACACTCATCACTTCTGCTGTTTCTCAGTCACTAAATGATAATTAATAAAGTACACAATATTTACTTTATTCAGTGGTACACAAATCCCGTACTTGACTAAAAGTAGAGCTATCCTTGATAAATATTACTCCATTAAAAGTACAAGTCTTCAATTTAAATTTCTACTTGAGTCAAACTACAAAGTACCTGCTTTAAAAAGTAAAAGTACTGTTAGTATAGTTTTGTTTGTCAGGTGTTGCTGCAAACTTTCCTGATTATTAAACAATTTGCATACGTCAGGTTTCCCTTTAATAATAACTCTAGTTACTCAGTTATATGTGCGGATATCTTCTGATTCTTAAGTAAAAGTACAACACTGTAAAAAATACTCTGTTCCGAGTAAAAGTCCTGCATTGAAAATGTTACTAAAGTAAAAGTATGTAAGTATAATCAGGAAAATGCACTTCAAGTATTAAAAGTAAAAGTACTCATTACTCAATGTCTCGTGACTGTTGTACTAATATTACATTATTATTACTCATGCAGTAATTGTGTGAGTAAGTAGTGTAACTGTCCCATTAGTTTGTAAAACTACTCACATGATTTAATGTGAACTCATGTCTTTCTTTGTGTCCTTCACCTCCATCCCAGCTGGAGATAATTCAAATCAGCCGAATCAGCACTGTATTTCTCGGGTAAGTGGTTAGAATATAATTAAGATAACACCACAACACAAAGTAAGTACATTATTGTAATATGTCCATATTTTTAGATTGTGAATGAGACCAAATGCAGAAACAGACTGAGCAGCATGAGCAACTTTAACAAAGCAGCAGAGATAATCTGAATATATAATGAGGGAAAACCACATTACTACCAGTGTTGGCAAGTTACTTCCAAAATGTAATACATTATAGATTACTAGTTACTGTCATTTGAGAGTAATTATTTATGTGACAGTATTACTGTCTCTGAATTGTAAAGCTTTGCACTACTTTTGATGTGCTGCATAGGTGGATTCTAGTGATGTGCAGATCGCAGTTATATCTGTCGGGGGGGAAACAGGATGAATCGTCTCCCCATTAAGAAAGAGACTGTGTGCATTTACGCACGAGGTGCAGCAGCATAACGTCATTAATAATTTTAATCTCCCGACGCTCCGACAGGATCGATCAGGATGAACTGACAGCAGCCTCTCTGATCATGGAAGTAATTCGTTAAAGCACAAACACATATAGAAATCTATTTACGCACGATCCATCAGGGGAGCTAACGTCTTGTTAAGAGGAGTCGAGCTCACCCTGCCTACAATCTCCACCGCTGGATTACAGCAACAGGAAGTAATGTTGCTCTTTTACTCATGGATTTGTTTTTCTGCTGCCGAAATGTTTCTCAGTGTTGGTGAATTATTAAAAAACACCCATTACTTTTGGGTTAAAATGTGTTGTAACGCACGTTACTGAGATGGTAACGGGTATAATATTATTGATTCTCTTTTAGTAATGAGTTATATTACTGTGTTACAGCAATAAGTAATACATTGCTGTAACTGCGTTACTTTTATAACTGTGTTACTCACTTGAAACAAAACTATACAGGAAACTTTGCCAATGAAATGCAAAATTTCTTCTACATAAGAGCTGAGATTTCTCACTTGTTATTAAGTAAAAGTCATGATGCTTCATTTTTGCAAGATGGGTATAATATGTTCAGTCATCTGTCTTAATAAGCGCCGGGTTCAAAATAAGGAAGCTGAGTTGAAGACACTGAAGACAAAGCTGGAGACCCAGGAAATGGAATTAAAGACCAAAATCAAAAAGGTTTGTATTTGTATCTTTTCTTCAACAGATTTGGTTTCAGCCACCTACTGGTTTGTTTTCAGTTTAGCTTCTCTGTCTGGGTCAGGAACAGGTCGAAGAGGGTTTGAGACTGGAATGATTTTTATCCTTTTTAAGAGGGCTGTGATTTCCAGTTAGAAACAAAATGACTCTGGGGCTGTATAAACAGTGGAGGACACAAACAGGTGGCTTCATTCAAATGAGTCTCTGCTGCTAATTTGGCGTCGCTGTTAAAACAGCAGTGATAATGGAGAAATGCTTTAATCCATTTAGATTACACGCTGTCCAACCAGTAGATGCATTTTGTAACGATAGAGAACATCAGTAAATCAGTCTGTGCTAAAGATTATTAGCAGTGACTCACAGTGTGTCCACCAGACTGCCAAAAAGCAACCACAGCCTCGTCTGCACAGGCTCTCAGGCTGGTCAGGTGTGATTCAGTATTCACTTTATACAGATGCTGGATTACTGGGGCTCATTATTCCTGTGCACCAGGGCCTCTTTTCAACTTCTCTGGCTAAAGTGTTGTTTTAATGTTTTATTCTCTAGATGCATTTTAAATTCTTATTTGATGTGATAAAGAACTTAAACTCACAGGATTGGATTTATGTAGAAATTCACATTTTCAATCCAAATCAAAGTGTGTTGTTTTTATTGTACCCCCACATTATATATGGAGCCCAGCTGCTACCAAAACAGCAGGAGTGCTTTTCACCCAGTCTGTGCACCGAGGGAGTCACTTACTTCAGAAACTTTCCAATTAGACGCACAAATAAAACCATGATATAGGTTTTATAGTTTTTCTGTTACTGTTGACATGTTGCAGTACATTAACTCAGATATACATTCATAGTTAAACATGTCTCTCACATTGTGTCCTCTTCTCGTTCCTCCCAGTTTAAAGACAAACAAGCTGAAGTCCAGCAGCTCCAGGATGAGATTCAGAGGAAGGAGACCATCCTGCAGACGGAGAACAGAAAGGTTCATTATTCTACTGAATAAAAACTATCAGAGTATCCAGATATTTATAGAGATATTTGGTATCAGTGTCGATGCTCAGACATTCAGCAACACTCATCATCATGATTGTTGAACATTCAGACCTTAAACCTGAAGGTGCTCTGTGGAGTTTTCTGGTGAATAAACAGAAGTTAT